AAAAAAAACATCCCGCAACCAAAAAAAACACAACCTTTTTCTTCTATGTTCCTACCTCCTCTCTCTGCTTGTTCATGTCTACATCTCCTCATGGCTCTTCGTCTACGTCCTGTATAATGCTTTAGTCGCATCTTAAGACCATTAGCACATTTCTCCTCTTTAGTTGGGAACTCTATCATACTTGTCATTTTCCTAATAGACCTTTCTTTTCGTGGACTCCTGCACTTTTCATTCTCTAATTCAGACAGCATACGAGCTAGCCAGGGCCGCATATCATGTAGGGCATCTAGAAGGGAAAGTCCATATTTTGAAGCTCTAGGGATGTTGATAAAATTTCACGATCTGCTATCAGCATGTCACCGACTTTCCAAATTGGAAGCATATAGACAACGAAGTAGACAACATCAAGAGCGAAAACAAACTTATATCCCATTGTCTAAGCGTAAGGGGATAATATTTCCTTGCACTTGTAACTAATTTACCACAATTGCAAGGCCTCAAAAGCTAAAGAAAGATGTTCTTTGTTAAAACAGTTGTACAATATGTTATTTATAACTGGGCAGGTTGTATCAAAGTAATTCTTAAAGTCCCTCTAACTATTACAACAAAACTCCAAAGTTATGGTGATAGTTGAGGGTTTAAGTTTTATATTCTAACATGCCCCTGCAGGTTGAGCTCCCTTTTATGGGGCCAAACCTAGACTCATGCAACTGTTTTATTTTAAAAAAAATATCCGGATTAAATTCGTGGCCAGTAGGATTTGAACATTACCTCAACTTTATGCGGAGCATATACTATATGAAGAGTCTACATATGCCTTGTGATACAAAACATAGGTGAACTGGTAACCATCTGACAAGAGAGCAACATTTTTCATGTGGCAGCATTACTAAAACATGAGATAGGGAGACTATTTAAGTATATCAAATGAAGATGAACTTGTTTCCTTAGCCTAGTAACTTGCACCATGGTTGAAACTTGGCTCTTTCGCTTATGGTGTGCAGTCGTGTATTAAGTAAGATTCAACATCTCATGTCTGTGGTATCATCCTCCCCGCCCCCACCCGAGTAACTTGCGTTCTGCTCGAAACTTGGCTCTTTTGCTTATGGTGTGTAGTCGTGTACTAAGTTAGTGAAATTCAAGCGTCGGTATGTGCTACTCATATGCACGCGCCGAACCGGTCCCCCCCCCACACGGCTGGAGGTCTCGGAGCGGGCGCAGGTCGCGCGTGGGGCTCCAGGAGAGAGACTGCGCACACACACACACAAAAAAAAAAAAAAAAGAACACTTGTTTCATCTTCAACAAGTATTCCCGCTTTACTTGGTGAAGGGAGTTTTGATGTTCTACTTGCTCATTACTTGTATAATTATTAGCTACCAAATTTTCATACTTAATGAATGACGACACACCTGTCCTGGAACCTCATCAAATCATAGATGAAGTCAAAAAAGAGAACATACAATACCTTAAGTAGCATGTCCCCAGCAACTATGATTCCTGAGATAACAAATGTCCGTGTTAAAGCACCTGATCCAGTAGCATTATTACCTTGAAGTATAAGGGCTACCAGACTAATTTCCAAAAATAACATTCCGGAATTCGTGAACAATGACAACATGTTCCAAGATGACTGCTTAGCAGGGTTGCATTGCATTGCCTGTTTGGAGAAGAAAATCAGAAAAGTTAATCTAACAGTGAGATTAGAAGAAATGCACAGTCAAAGAAAAAATTTGATTGTTTAATGCACAATAGAATAGTTCATGTGCAGAAGTGCAGATTAAACCAAGTTAAAAGATTGTATAACCACATCAATACTGCTCCCAGATGAGTGACAAGGTCTTGTCTGAAAAGTTAGTCTCCAAAATTTTGTTCTCTTAAAGAGTTAAGATTTTAAAGCCAATTAATTCCTAAAAGAAGCAAATAATCTAGAATTTAAATGATCAAAAGAAGGAACTGAGGCAACAGTGAAAGAAAAAACAAGTAGTATATTGATACATCTTGGATACATCATCAATGATAAAATATGCATGTTAATCAACTATATGAGCAATCATATTCTTTCTTACAAAACTGAACAGATTATATAACAGCACTGCATCAACATATCAAATAAAATTGTGAATCCATTGTTTTTACATTCAATTTTGACTTTCTGTGTGATCAACGTTGTCTTTAATATGTAATATGTTGCAAGTTTAGAATATGCCAAGAGGACTATTGACATGTATCCCCTAACTCCTCAACCCATGTTCATTTGGCCGTTCCCTTCCCTAGCCATTTCTACCGAGAAGATGTGAGCTTATCTGTTGAAAAACTTCCATCATTCTGGCAGCCATAACCAAGATAACTTTCATTTATACAGCCAAATTTGATTCCCCTCTTTATTCCTTCATAAACAAACAAAACTTCCCTGATTCTAAATAATATTTACTTTGCAATGTCAATACAAACATGCACAGTCATCCCTTTCATTTCTTATAGCCTCTGATAAAGCCAGCAGACATCTTGTTTCATATTAAAATCAACCATAATTTATACTACAATACCCAAGTCTTACTGAAGCTTGATTCATTGATTAAAAATTCTTTTTACGTTGTATCTTTGATCTGACTACACAAAAGTTCAAAGTGAGACTACACAAAGGAGAAAAGAGAGAAAATATTCTTGCTCAAAAATTGCTGTTTATGTTGTTTGACCTGACTACACAATAGCTTCTAACCCCAAAAATTTCTCTTTCCTCAATTATTCAAGGTTCATATAGTAGGGATCCTAGCTCTCGAAACTCCAGATATTCACTTCAAAGTCATTATTATTTATATTTATTATTAGTATAAATAATAAATAAATGTTCTACTGAATCGTAAAATATAATGGTATTAAGTGATTAAAATATCAAAACACTTGTATGTTTAAAGTTTTGGTTATAAAGAAAAAATGTTTGTTTGAGTATAAACCTAAAAAAATCGTAAACATTTTGGCCTAAAAAATGATCAGAAAGAAGATCTAACAGATCATTTCCACAAGTAGCTATTTGTTTGAGTTTAGACCTCAACTGGTAAATAAGTTCCAGTCTGATCTTTGAAAGCCAAGAGAGATAGATAGATAGAGAGAGAGAGAGAGAGAGAGAGAGAGAGAGAGAGAGATCTGAAGTCGATATTACTAACATTTGGCCTTTTTTAGGCCAAAACATCACCTGATATATCAAAAAAATAATGTACTATCACTAAAAAATTGCAAAATGTGTAAAGGATATTGAGACTATACCAGTTTACCACAAGCCAAAATGATTTATCTGAAGATATATCGGCCATGTCTGGGATATTTAAAATAATGGATCTCTCATAAGTGAGCTCCATGAAGTGATTCCTCCCTCGCGATGCTAACAATGCAATGATGACCTTTAAAGGGATGATCAAGGCAACCCACCTGATGACATACCTAGGTTTGAAGTTTTCATCACTATGGAAAAATGAAGGTGGATGGGTGCCTCAATAGACAACAACTTTGGAAGTATTCTAATGACATTTATCTAAACCAAGGGTCTAAGGTGCAATATGCTTTAGATTACCAAATTTGTAGGATAATATCTTGGCGGGAGAGTAAACCTTTAACTCTTCATCATAGAACCAGGAATATCTCCACATGGTCAGAGATGACAGGGACTATGGATTCTCATTACCTTCCTTTAGGTTACTTGAAATTCTTCATCTTCAGTTGTTAAGAGTCAAGCAAGATCCAGATACACGGATGCACACAGTGATTGATCCTTTTAGTTACTAAAAAGAGCAAGTATCTAAAGGTCATAAATATTTCTTTTAGTTAGTAAAAATAGAAAGTATTTGAAAGTCTTTCTTTTTTGCCAGGTACTTGTCAAGGACTCAAGGTTAAAAGATTACGCCTGAGATGAAGCATATTAGTTTTGGCCCATAGAAAAGGTTGCATATATTATTTGTTAAGCCTGAAACTGAAAGGGCACGTTTGGGCTACTACTTATTTTTATGAAACCTAATAACTTATTAGTTATTACTATTTTTTACTTATTCTTTCAGATGGCAAAGTGATTTTTTAACATCAATAAGTAAACCTCCTTATAAGTGACAAAAAAATAAGTTGAAAAATCCCAACTTTTTTTTGGGCCCTACTTATGAGGAAAAATTAGCTCCGTTTGGATACCATAGTGTTTTACTTGTTTCCATGGTATTTTTTCTAAAAATAAAACACCATATTTTTGAAAATCATGGTGTTTTTTGAGCTAAATCATCCTCAAACCAAAAACACAACACTTATTTCAAAACACCTTTTAGGTGTTTTAAGTTTGGTGTTTTAGTTTTGAGTTTAAGAATGTGTTAATATAATATCTAAATATAATATATTAAATATAATTAATATAGAGTTATTATCAATATGCTTATTATAGTATACTATACTATACTATATTATAGTTAATTTAACATAATAGTAATATTTATTAAATAATATAAAAATATAATAAATAAAATATCTTATATAATAATATAATAACATATTAAATACCAATATTTAATATGTTAATAATGTATTATATAATAAACAAATAATAATAAAAAATAAATAAGCAAATAAAAAATAATAATAAAGTTAATAATGAATAGTAATAATGATAAATAAATATACTATCAGCAGTATAATCACGCGTATAAAATTATAACTTTTTTTAATAATAAGATTGTAATAAATTAATAATATACAATAAGTAAGTAGAAGTAACATATTTAATAATAACAAACATGATAATAATATTATTATAATAACATATGTAATAGTAAATGTAATATAATATATAAATTACTTAATATTAGTGTAATTAAATAATATAAATTTATTATATAAGTAAAATAATTTTTATTAGTCAAGGATATTTATTGCTAACACAATGTTAATGTAAAATATATTTCATAATTAATAATGATTTTATTTATATCAATAGAATAATAATATAGTTATTAAAGTATATTAATAAAAATTCTATATTCTAACTACAAAAACATATACATAATATTATCAGTGAATATTAAAAAGAGTATTATAATATATTATTTATT